TGAGGTTATGAAAACCCTGACCGGGGACTTGTTCGCATAGGTCGCGTTGGACTTCCCGAACGAAGTCATCTGGATGGTCACGGTCTGGCATTTATTCAATGTCATGGCTAACCTCAGCTAAGTTGTCTTCGTGTCACTGATTTGAACATTCCAATCTTACTTCTAACCGTCCATCCAAACGGGTAGCCAAATAACAGCAACCGAAACCGCCACACAAAAGTGCAAAGTTAACGACTGTTAAAATAGAAATTTTAAACTCATTTTTCATTTGAGGCGTATACCATTTGGTTAGATGTGAAGTCTATTTCTTAAGTACGGGGGACGACAACAGGGCCAACGTTTACTCGGTGCTAGTATAGCGGATGCGTCAAGGTTCAAGGCGTTTCCAACTGTGTGTGGTGATGTTCCCGCAATCTTAAAAATGGTTCCAAAGACAGTTGAGTAGTCTCCTTATTGTCTCAATATCTACATTCAGAACACTCCTAAATCGGATTCCGTCAAACAACTTAGTGCTACCCTCACCAATAACCTTGTCCGGGGTCTAATCACATCGAAAGTGTTTCCACGCAAGTCCGCAGACTGCCTTCTTATGCATACAGGGTCAGAAAGCCGACAGTCCCCGAAAGCCTCACTTTGAAGTTGTGATTGGTTCCCGCCTTCGGAACAACTCATGCAGTTCTCGCAAATTTCTCTTTGGTTAACACACTAGAGTTCATCTAGTTCTCCAGGGTTTTGAAACTTCTGCCTCGACATAGCGTGACGGATATAACTGTTTTTTTTCGAGTAAGTTTTTATTTCCAAGCATTCGGAAGTATGTGTTGTGATAGGTTTATGGATAGGATGATAACTCGTGATGAAGATCACTATCTGCATCTTAAATTCATGGTAGTTCTATTGGGTCCCCGAATGGGCTCCACTCGTTTTCCGCACGTACATCCACATGCAGACACAGTACTACAATGTCTTGACCTGTTTCGTTGGATAGCTGCCCCGTCGTATGACCAATGTAAGTGGCGCCAGATAAGTATGTACTTGAATTGATAGATGAGCATTAACGAGATCCTTGTTCTGACATCGGATGACTGATCGCATCACATTTGACCCACTTCTGACCACTACCTGCTTCGGCAAACATTGTGTACCAAGGCAATCAATTTGGCGACATGTGCAACATAAGCCCTCAGGGAACCTAATTTACGGAGGCCGAGCAAGTGCTCCAGTGGACGACCACGACTGTATGAAAGCATTTACTGACGTGGCTAAAGACGTGTAAAAACCGTGTCTATGAAACTGAATCGTACAGATCGGATTACATCGCACGACCGAGGAGATGTAATTCATTTTTATAAATGAATTTGTTCTTGTTTTGCGAGTATTTTTATTTTGTTAAACAACCCTGAAAAGTAGCTCGATTATTCGACAACGTTCACCGAAGAAAGACAGTCGATAACACAGCATTTAGGTGTTCGATTCTCTTGGTTGAGTTGGCTTCTACGGCCGTTAACCTAAAAAAAAATAACCGCCGTAATATACTAATTATAAAAGTTGAATGGAAAAACTCGAGGGGCGTCATAATTTTTACTCGTAGAATCTCTCAACAGTTACCTCAACAACAAATGCGTTTAACCGTCTGAGTATTGGACTGTTAGGTGACGTGAAGTGATAGCAGTGTAATTAGCGTGTAAAAAAACCGTTCTATGGATAGAACATTAAAGGAAATTAAACTGGTTGTTGCTATTCGCACCACGCGTTCAAACGCCAGAAAAGATTGTATCTCAATAGGCAGGAACAGGTAGATCAAGCGGAAAATGACTTACTCCGCCACTCTGTTCTCGGTCTCGGCCAGACGCTTTTGAAGCACGTCCACTTCGCCTAGGCGCTCTTTCAGATCCGTGTTTTCTTTCAGAACACGTTTCATTCGCTCTTGTGTTTCCTGATAGGTGACTTCCGCACACAGGCGCTCAGCCTCGCGTTCTCGAAGCCGTTCCACATCCTGTGTGTGTACAAAAAAATAGAGGGATTTCGTAGGGTGGGGAGGTGAATTCAAATGGAATAACAAGTAACGCAACTTCCATAGTCCATGTTTTTGAACAGAGGCTTTCGGGTATGGAATATACACAAAACTGTTTACGCTTCGATTTTATTCCCTATCTGGAACAGAAATGAGCGAAAACTGTGCTGAGAGAAACGAGTGGGTTGTTAAATGAATTTCATGCTCTGTTCAATGGAGGCTATTGTGCATATGTACAACACATTCGCCTATGCACAACGCAGTAGGGCATTGTTTAGAGTACTGTATTGTATTGAAGATTTAGCGAGTTATATACAGGCTAAAAACAGACTATCTTGTCAGTCGAACTATACCCCCGTTCGGTTGCGGCTCGTCATCCGAATTGACTAATGCATCCCGCTAAACAATCCAGCAAGTGATTGTACCATCAATAACTCTGCACCTCGATATAAGTGACTTCGGGTTAGGGTTTTACCGACTCCTTTGATACGATCAATAACTGTGTCTCATCCATCCGACTACCTTTTCCCTCTTCCCCCACCCCTCATACCCCGGAAATACTGGATATTCGCAGTTGCTTCAAAATGAAAAGACCCTCATCAACCAGACACTTTGAGTGGAACTTCCCAAGTGGAGGCCGCAAACGCAAATCATCAGTTAGTATTTCTCGAGGTTACTCCGAATCACAATGAGATATTGGAAGAACACTTTCAATACACTATCAAGACGATTTATATCGCAAATGATCTCATTATGAGAGGTCAACCGGAACCAAAGTTCTGGGGGAATCGGGAGAATGAAATTAATCTAATAAAATAAAATAAACGTCTTTTGACTTCCTTTTTTAATTTATTGAACATATAAATGTACAGTTAACATTCAGGAAGAGGAGCCGCGGCTATACAAAGACCTCCTGGGTAAACGGGCGACGGTGGAGCGGTTCGAATCCGGGACTCACAGGTCACAAGTTGGTGACCTAACCACTTGACCACCACCGCCCCAAAAAGTGAAGTTGAGTAAATTTGTGCATCAGTGAACGCTTGAGGACACAATCTACACCAAAAGCGGACCAACTCACAAGACGTCTACAAGAAGAGCATCAGCGGAATAAAACAAAAACAATTTGTGAAATCCAGCACGCAGATTAGGCGATCCTCATTAGGCGATGAAACCAATTTCACCACCATAGTTTTTCCCACTGGTGGTTGAATGTGTTCAGAAAACACGTGGCAATGAAATGGAAACTAAACGCGCAACATCTGTAAATGGCATTTCTGGGGAAAAAAATCCGATATTTTGAGAGGGGACGAAAATAACAATGAAATCATTAAAATTCTAAACAGTCCTTACCTTTGCCTGCTTTATTGCCGTCTCCAAAGACCGATTTAACCGGTTTATTGTATCATTTTGGGTCGAGGTTTTACGCTGCTCCGTCTTGAGCGCCTCCTGGGTCTGATTAAGACGGGTCTCCAGGGCCGAAACACGTGTCTCTGCGGTGGCTTGGCCTTTACGCAACGTGTCGATTTGGTCCCGGGCGGCATTCAGGGCCTGATAATCATACGAGAAACATCAACGAACAAGTGGCAACAGTCATCGACAGCAGATAAAAAGTATTCAAAAATGACTCCAATGGGCAGGGTGCAGGAAATGATAAACAATCAATCTCTCATAATAAGTGCATACAATGGCCTACTTAACCAAGATTCTTACGAACCTAATATCGCTGGAAGTCTTGGTTTTGTCGGATGTCTTGGGTTGTGAGTAATCAGTCTTCCCTTGCGTTTCTTCATACCCTACAGAAGAGACCTTACTCACTGTCTTCAAGTGGTGGAAAGTCAGGGGACGAAAAGCCAATGACCAGTGCTACAACCGAATCGGTGGACCACGGGCAGCTGGTCTACGGCAGTTATTTAAGAACCTAGATTTTAAACAAATCGAGAAGAGGAGAAAGCAGTACACCCTAATCATCCTAATTTTGGCAGTGTTCATCAACCTAAGTGGGCAATGAAGTGCACTGAATCTCAGTTTTTACGTCCACGACCCATCTGATTTCGTGCACCGGCTTTGGTTGCTGTCTTTTGGATACCTATTTGGAGGAAGGGGTAGAGAGAATATTGGAATGTTCAAACCAGGGTCAGGGTGAAAATAGAGAATTCATGTGAACCGTGATTACAAGACAAATCAGCAAAAGCACGACTGTCACTGCTTGCGACACAGCGACACTAGTCACTGTCCCCAACCATTGATTACAAGGATCCCAAGCTCATCAACCAGGAAACCGAACGCGACCTATGTGAGCTAGTCTCTTGCTCAAGGTTTTCATATTATCATGCCAGATCTGCGTTTGACCTCTCTTTACTTTTATTTTCACCCACTACCTGCCTCGATAAACATCGCATATCGTAGTAGACTATGAGGTGACATGAATAACATATTGTCCATTCAGTGTAATCTACCGAGGTCGACCATTCGCTCCAATGGACGATCGCAGTTCCCTAAAACTCCGTGCCTAAAACATCAGCAATGTTTGTCCCGTTCCCCAAATGGAATCGTACGATTCGGCGAATACAGCGTTGTTCCAACACCGAGAGTCTATTTTTATCCTGTTTACGACATGATAGCTGTGAATGAGCACGGGTCGAATTGCTCCCGCATACATGCACTCGACTCTTTACAGACAACCAGATGTCGAGACGGCGAGGGAGATCTCAAATATTGGCAAATGCAATGGAGTCTTTTTTTTCATTACAGACATTTGTGTGGTGAACAGCAGAATAGAAGAACTGTTGATCCGTTATGGAAACCGGTAACCGAAGTCCCGCGGAACTTGGAGTGGCGAATCACATAAGGCCCCAATAGGCTAGGTGAGGTGTGGTATTCGACCGGACGACAGCAAAGCTTCTACCACCAAAGTTGGGTGGCGGTGGCGGGGCTCGAACCTCGGACCATAGTGTCCAAAGCACGCCGATGACAGCGGCTAAACCACTGGGTCACCATCACCCATTGTGCATTGGACACCTTGGGTAACGTTCAAAAGAAGTGGGCTCTAATAAACTGGGCAAAGGTCTTTGATGCACTGGGTTTTTTCATACACCGCTCTCTCTCGCCCAGACCCGTTGGCTTCGGTTGTTTTATCCGTCCCGATCTCTCTCTCAGATGGACACAAATTGAGTAACTATGATGGTGGCCACCATGTTTTCAATCCCCTATTCCCGAGGTCTTGGGTGGTTTCCACCAACAGCTGAATAGCAAAACACCCGTTTCCTACAAACGACAATGTCTCTGTGATTGAAATACTCCTCGTGACCTAGGCAGGCAAGTGTGTTAGCGGAAATAACCACCCGCATGGATTTGATCCCATAATCAATGTAAATCACAACAAAATGGGAATGAAAAATCGTGTAACAGAACACCAGGAAACATGTAAAACACTTTGCACAGTTTTACACATAAATTTGAACTGGGAATGTAACGCCATTTTCGATCAAATCTCCTGTTTTGTTCTGAAACAGTTGTCCGATTGAGAGCAAATGGTATGGTGAGAATTAGTTTTAGGCACGTAAACAGCTGATGTTTATGATTACCTGGAACGCGGCCCCGAAGTTTCATGTAGTGCTACAAGCTTAGTACCATATAATTTAGCTAAAAGTCGATAATGTTAGTACTATAGCCTACATGGATTAGGATTTGAAATATGAAAAGCATATCGATCGAATTCCCGCAGTCGAAGCCCCGCATTGAGCTTGATCGTTAGGACTACATGTGTGACCGACAAACATGCGACCGTTAAAATAAACCTACCTGTGTTCTGAAGGTCAGCAAACAATGAAGAGGAAACTAGGAGATTCAACGGGAAATGTTCATGAAACATATATTGTGCGTGCGAAATCAGCAATGAAAAAAAGACGGGATGTATTCTGTGCGTGAGCAAGTCCACCAAACTAGTATGTAGATTGGTAAAAAGAACAAAAATAAAAGTACACACAGTTTCCTCGTGTATATATATATATATGTGTGAAACGAAGAAAGCAGACATCCGTGATTGGGACAGTTACTTGATGAGAGGCAACCGGTAAGTGAATAAGAAGTAAATTGCTACCCGGAAAGGCTTGAGAGTACAGTCGGAGTAGTGTTTCACAAAAGCCAATAAACAATACGAGGAAGTTCGTTATTTTGAAAACTCAAGTGAACAATCAAGTTAGTCATTGCGGAGGATCGATTCTCAGCTCGCTGCACACACGAGTTCACTGATCAGTTTCACGCGGTATCATCATATAGTGTTCAGAAAAAAAAACAATCTAACGAAGAAAGTGTGGGTGTATGCAAGACATCTTTGACTAAATTTGTCTATGCTAAATGTTTTAGCGCGATGCTCCGGTTTCTCGGTAATTTCATCGTAACGTAGAACCACGATAATCAGGGTTCCGTTCCGTTCCGTTCAGTTCTTATAACCATTAACCATGCACTTTTATGCACCGGTTTGGTTGTCCATTAGGACAAAACAGCAGAATGAAGATTAGAATGTTGAGAGCAGATTCAAGCGGAAGATGGAGAATTCATATAGACTAGTCTTAAGAAAATAGTGAGTAGATGCACGAGCACCACTGTTTGCGCACCCAGCCATATCGCTCAGTGTTTCTAATCATCGGTGACGAGGAACTCGGGGTCCCCAACCAAGGAATTTCACGGGACCTACGTGACCCAGTCCCCTGGTCAGGATTTCCATACCCTCATAGCAGTAATTATAGCTTATCCAAGCTCTTACACGGCTATGGAATTCTATTTAGCAAAGTTAATTTTACCGAGGATAGCTTTCAGCGCAATGCATGAATGAGACGCACATAGGCTCCGTGAGTTGCACAAACGTTATGGCATGAGTGTTTTGTCAACGAATCTCAGACAGTCAATGTAATCAGACAGCGAGTTTGAACAAATCGTTTAGGAAACCATGAGAGTAGACTACATAGTTGACGATTAGCTTCTGAGTTGAAACAAGGGAAGCATTTATTAACTTGTCCACCCAGAGCTGAGTGTATAAAAGATTACAGAAAAAAAGAAAGATCAAAGAAAGTTATCGAGATTCAGTTCAAGAGAGAAAGAGAGAGAGATCTAATTGATTAAAAACCTAAGGGGAAATGGAAAAGCAGAAATCTATGAGAGGATCAATTAGTAACTTCTATGTGATTTTTTCAACCAAATAAAAAGTGCGTCACAGTTGCACAGGCCCGTGCAACTGAACAGCAATGTTCGACTTATGCGGGCAAGTCGCCTGTCCAGGGTTTTCATACCACCAAGAGAGGCTTTGGTTTGACCGCCTTTTACTTTTTCCACGCAGCACCTGTCTCAGCAAACAGCACGCATTAACGCAATCTGTTTGATGACACGGGCAACAACAACAACAACAACACATGTCGCAATCAGTGTAGAAGTAGCCAGCACAGGGAACACACTACGCAGGTATTATTTTCGTTATACCACTCATATATGGTCAGTGAATAGGTGGGAAAGTATTAGATGTTGCCAAATCGATCATGCGAACCTGACATCGTCAATACACCTGATCTAGCTGGAGTCGATGGGGAACTGAGTTATGCGATCGGTGTCTCTCTCAATGAGCCATCGTTTATGCCGGAGGGACTTACAACGAAACAGCACAAATCACACAGATAACAGAATAGAGATAGGCCATATCAGTAAAGGCGAGGTTATGAGCTACCTTAGTGTGCGGATCGTGTTGCCCTACCCATGCGCCAAAAGTACGTGTATATACTATTATGTACATGGTGTTTCGATACCGGTTCAATACCACGCTAACCTACCGAGGCCTTATGTGGTTTACCAATCCAAGTCCCGAGGCTTAGGTTGCCAACTTCCACGACAGAACAGCACGTCCTCGTGACTATGGAGTTTGCCCCGTCTGCTGTTCATCACACGTGTGTAATAAAAAAACCGTTATTATCCCGACCGATGCGAGAACAGATTTAGACTTACTGTTCACATTTATACAATTATCGTTGGCATTTGCCAGCTTAGAACATCTGTGGCATCGTCGCGACATCCGGCTGTCTATGAAGGGTCGAGTATAAGCCGCAGCAGTTCGGCCAGTGCTGCTCTACGGTACAAAGGCTTGGCCACTACGAGAACAAGATAAAAATAGATTGTCGGTGTTTGAACACCGCTATCTACTTCGCATTGCACAATTCCGGTGGGGTAATCGGACGCGCAATGCTGAGGTTCAGCACAGAGTTTTAGGTAGTCGCGGTCGTCCAATGGAGCAAGTAGTCAACCTCCATAGATTACGTTGGTTGGGGTATGTGTTACGTATGCCACCAGATGGATTGCCACGGCGCACGACGTTTACGAAGTCAGGTAGCGATTGGAAAAAGATCAAGGGTAGTCAAACGAAGACCTGGTATGAGTATATGAAAACCTTAATCAGGAGACTGGGTCACATAGGTCCGGTTAGACTCACTGGCTGGGGACCCCGAGATCATAGTCACCGATGGTTAGAGACACTGAGCGAGCGGGTGGGCGGCGGCTGGGTGTCACAAACAGTGGCGCTCATGTATCTACTCACTATTCTCTTAATACCAGTCAATAAGAATTCTTTATCTTCTGCTTGAATTGGTTTCACCATTCCAATCTTCATCCTTTTCTTTTATCCAAATGGGCGGCCAAAAGACAGTAACCAAAACCGGCGCATGATAGTGCATGTTCAATGGTAGAACAAGCTGAAATTGAATTATCGTTATCAATAATTCATGTGTTGGGAGGTTAGTTGAACATGCAATGTAGGGAATCATGATTAACTGCAATTCCCTCCATGTTCTGTGCTCGTATTCCACAAAACGGGAAGAGTAAATCCCTTATTTCGTCGTCAGAATGGTGATTCATAACAGATATTCATGAAAACTTCCATTTCACAACCGAGCTGTTTCTCACTCATGACTTCAGTCACGGACACTTCGTCGTCCAAGTGCTCAAATGGTGGTGTGGTCTTTATGTAACTCAGATGTCAACCCAATTTTCGGCGCACTCTGAAACGAAGGTAGTGTCATATCCATGGAGAAGCTAAAGGACCATCCAAAACAGCAATGGGAAATGAGGTTACTCGTTATGGTATATCGTTTGCACCTTCAAAGTGCAGTGTTGTTGCAAAACTGCCAGGGACCCGTCCGTGCACCTACGTTGAGTAACCACACCCTGGAAGTAGTCGAAAGCTTTGTCTACCTGGGGAGTTGCAAAACGGCTGGCGGAGGTGCAGGCAAGGTCTCTCAACGTGTGATAAAAGCTAGATTGGCGTTTGCTAATTCGCAGCATCTCTGGCGCGGGTGTGACATTACTTTCATTGAAAGGGCGTGTGTACTGCGTAACGGTATGCGCCCTGTTGCTCTATAACTGGAAAACCTGGCCTCCCCGAGGAGAAGCTTAAGGCCACTCCAAAACAGCAATGGCTGTCTGTTGATAAGGGAGTGTTGCGGAACCTCGTAAAAGGTATGCCCCGAAATTCCATCCAGGTTTCGAAACACAATCAGCGCTGTGTATAATACTAGTGTGTATTATTCACACCGAACTCCCGAGGAGCGTGATACTTTTGATGGGGTAGTTAGTAAATTGCATTATTAACAGCTGAGAAATAGGATTTCTGTGTTTAGGCCTTTTTTACTCGACTACTAGATTAATACCGAAAAAATAGTTGTGTTACATTGGGAGAGATCAAACTTTTCTGCTAGGGTCTACTACATTCGAGAGGGCTTTTTTAATTATACACCAGTGTGATGAACAGCAGTTCAGTGATGGTAGCTTCAAGTCCAAGGACTTGAAGTGGCCAACCACATAAGGCTGCGCTAGCTCAGGCTTGGTGTTGAACTGGACGGCAGCAAAGCTGTCTACCACCAAAGTTGGGTGGCGCTGGCAGGGCTCGAACCTCAGACTACAGGGTGCGAAGCACGCCGGTGTCAACGACTAAACCGCAATGAGTGGCCACTTCACAAGCACTGATGATGTCACCTAGACTGGTGATGAAACGTTTGCAGACAAATTGCCAAGCTCGGCGAACAGATTAAATGAAACCACAGTATTTCCCATCACTTGAAAGCCTAGACCGGCGGTGTAAGGCCTGCGGGCAATGTAACGGCTATGGTCAAACGGTCTCAAACGATGGCCATTGGCTCTTAAACGATGGGGAAGTTGTGCATCGCATAATCAACCAGGTGGTTGTGTAGAGACTGAATCAAACGGAATTGGTGTATGGTAGGTACGCTACGGTGATCGTGAAGATTTTTAGTGAATAACAATACGGTAAATATTGGTGATTGGAGAATATACACCGACTACATTGTAGCTTTGTCACTTAACATGCCCGCGTGCAAGTTAACAACAAGTGTCTGTAAGATATCACAATTCTACAGTGTCTCCATGATGTGGAAAGGTGCCGATTATGTTTGGTCTAAGTGCAATAACTCTTCTGGCAACGGCAGGTTCACTGTTGACCGCCTTGATACCACCACACAAATCCTGGGTTACGACCTACGTGGTTTACTACTCTGCGTTTCAGGGCTTAGATTGTTGAACAGTAAAAACTACTAAATACTGATTTCAACTCAATCGTGTTGTTCATAGCACTAATACATGTAAGCCTCAGTATGGTCGGGGGTGGGTGCCTAGGGTTGCGGCTGGTCACCATTCCCTTGCACCTCGCGAAATGCTCCCATACGACCAAGCGTATCAAATAGCCTCCACTGAGGAAGCCCTACTCACTGTCTTCTCGTGGTGGAGGTGCTTTCCCACCAAGATGAGAGGACGATAGCCAATATTCGGGTCTATAACGGGGTTGGTGGACCACTAGTAGTTCACCTAGGGGAGTTGGCCAAAAACCTTGATTCCAAACCAACCAAGAGGTGTACGTACCATGCCCACACCTTTTCGGGTGTCAGTGGTCACCGGCTGGATTGGGCATCAAGGTGCATGGGCACCTTGGACGTTTGACCCCCGTCTAAAGGGCGTATGATCCAATGAACTGGACGCCGGCTCCCAATGGACTGTGGTTTGCACACACCGCCCCACTGCCTTGCGGATCAGGCTTCGGCTAGCCGAAGGCTCTCTCTGGTTGTGAATTCCTTAAGAAAATTCATCTACTTTGACCTGGGCAACCTGGGAATATTC